TTTATAGTAATTGGCTCTGTCTGCTCAAGCTGCTCTTTGAAATCTTCTGTTCACCTCTTTTGCCATATATTCCATTTGCTTTAGCTACTCTCTGCTCAAGGGCAAGTTGCAGAGTCTCTTCTGACATCCATTTTTGTCTTTTCTTCCTTTCTTGTTTTAATGACCTCTTGCTTTCTTCATGGATGATGCTCTTCATGTCATCCCACAATTCCTCTGGTTCTGTCATTGTTGTTCGGTGAATGAAATATATTCTTTAAATGGTCTCCAAATTCAGGAGGGATATTGTCAAAGTCATATTTGGCTCTCGTGGACTTGTTTTCTGTGTCTTCAACTTCAATTTCAGCATGCATATGAGCAGATGGTGACCTGTTCCACAATCAGCTCCTCGCCTTGCTTTGGCTAAAGATACTGAACTTCTCCATCACCTCTTGCCACAGATGTGGTCAGTCTGATTCCTGTGTATCCCATCTGGTGAAGTCCATGTGTATAGCTGTTGCTTATGTTGTTGAAAAAGGGTATTTGCAATAAATAAGTCATTAGTCTTGCAAAATTCTATCATGCAATCTCCAGCTTTATTTCTATTACAAAGGCCATATTTTCCAACTACCAGTAACTCTTATTTGTTTCTAACTTTTGCATTCCAGTCACCAGTGATAATGAACACATCTTGATTTGTCAATCAATGCATGTTTGGTCAATTTCAGACTGCAGAAGTTGGCAGAAATCTTCAATTTCCTCATCTTTGGCTTTGGTGGTTGGTGCGTAAATTTGAATGATAGCAGTATTAACTGATCTTGTAGGCGTATGCATATTATTTTTCACTGACAGCTTTGTATTTCAGGACAGATCTTGAAACACTCTTTGTGACTATGAGCGCCATGCCATTCCTCTTCAATTTGTCATTCCCAGCATAGTAGATCTAATATTTGTCTGATTTTAAACTGCCCAAACCATTCCATTGCAGCTCACTAATGTCTAGAATATCCATCTGTATGTGTTCCATTTCATTTTTAACAACTGGCAGTTTTCCTAGATTCATCTTCACGCATTCCATGTTCCAATTATTAATGGATGTTTGCATCTGTTTCCACTCATTTTGAGCTGTGCCACATAAGGCAATGGAAGTCCCAAAAGTTTTACTCTATCCATATCATTAAGGGCGTCTCTACTCTGAGGAGTCAGCTCTTCCCCAGTCAAATTTTGAGTGCCTTCCGATCTGATGGGCTCATCTTACGGCACTATATAGTGTTCAGAACTATTCATAAAGTTTTCCAGACAGTGTTACATTGCTATTCATAAGCTATTCACTGCCCAATTATTTGAGAAGCGGACGGTCTCTTCCTTCTTCTGAGTCTGTCTTAGCCTGAAGCTCCACTGAAACCTGTCCAACATGGGTAACCCTGCTGGCATTTTACAAAACAGTCACATAGCCTCCAGCCTCACAGCAATATGTAAGCCACCACAGGATGACAAACTGACAGACAAGTTTGTCTCCCTTAGTTGCTGCTAACCTCTGTGCACCTGTCTACCTTGGATAACGGCCTTAAAATAGAGCCACCCACTAGTGAAAAGCAGCCCCCAAGCCCTGGCCTGCCTACCTCAGGTCACGGTCTTAATAATGAGATGCCCCCAAGCAAGAAGCAGCCCCCGATCCCGGGCTTGCCTTCCTCGGGCCCAGTCTTAATAAAGAGCTGCCCCAAAGCTAAAAGCAGCCCCCAGCCCCAGGCCCACCTACCTTGACAAAGTCCTCAACTATGATTGTGAATTTGTCTACTTCTCCTTTCAGTGATTACTGTTGCATTATGTATTTTGAGATTCTGTTGTTTGGTGCATGTGCAGTTAGTGACTTATGTTTTCCTGGTGGAATTGATCTTTTATCATCATGTAATCTCCATTAATAATAAACTTAAACATAGTAATGATCATGAAGATGGCATGGAACTGGGGCAACATTTTTTTCTGTTATACTTAAGGTTGCCATACATCGGAGCTGACTTCATAGCAAATAATAACAACATTGTCCCTCATAAACTCTAGTAATTTTCTTTGAAATCTATTTTATCTGATATTAATACAGGTACTTATGCTTTAAAAAAAAAGTTAATGTGTGCATGGTATACCATTATCCATTCTTTTCCTTTAAATCTACCAATTTCATTGCATTTGAATTGAGTTTCCTATAGACAATATACAGTTGTGTTGTGTTACATTATTTGCTCTGACAAAATCTTTTATTTGGCGCAATTAGACCATTTACTTATAATGTAACTATTAATATTTTAGGACTTAAATCTCCCTTTTAAATGTTTTCCTTTTCTTCTTTATCCTCTGTTACTCATTCCCATGTCTTTCCTCACCTTCATATGAATTACTTGAACTATTTTTCTATGCCATCTTCATTTATTTTTAGTGTCTTTGAATATAGTGGTCATTTTTTTAGTGATTATATTAGGTTTTACAATCTACGAACCCAAGTTATCACAGTCTACTGCTGTCAATATTTTACACAATCAAGTGAAGTGAGTAATTCTTCCTCTCTACTTCTGGTATTCATAATATAATTGTTTTGAATGCATTGAATACAGTGATATACTTTTAGTTTCAATTATCAAACAATTTAGAAAACTCAATAGGAGAAGGAAAGTCTATTTACCCACATTTTTACTCTTTCCATTGTTCTTTCTTCTTTATTGATTTTCTGAGGTTTCTTCTGTCATCATTTCTCTTCTACCTACAGAAATTCCTTTAAGACATAACTTGTCACTGGAACATGTGGAGAGCCGCACCACGGCATTCTATTCATCTTAACAAGGTCACAATACTTCCCTTCTTTGTTTTGGGCCTGTTGGACATCTTCAGACCTAAGTTTGAGTTTTGAGACCTGTCTTGAGCCTTCACTTCTGTATAGAAGTGATTCAGCACTTTTAAATTTACCCGCCTCTTGCCACGTATCTATTTTTTATAGGTTTCCCTATTTCACCATCAGCAGCAACGTCACATCACCCCATTCCTTGATCCTGCCCCTTTCCTTTACCATATATAAGTATTTGTTTGAAATTCAATAAACGAGACTTGATCTCTATTCTTCGTATCTCTTGTCCCTTCCATTTCCACCCCCTCCTCCAGGTCCTAGGTTGACTGTCCCACGGGATGGGACAGGAACAAATTCTCTTAACTCTTCTTCATCTGAGAATTCCTTGATTTCCTGTACATTAAACTCACTGCCATTGAGCTGATCCTGACTCATAGCAACCCCTCCTTGGGTTTCTGAGGCACTAATTTTACAGAACTATGTTGCCCAATCTTCCTTCTGAGGAGTGGCTGATGGGTTTGAACTACCAGCCTTTTGGTTAGCAGTGAAATGCCTTAGGCATTATGCCATCAGAGCTCCCTTTCTCTACATTACTGAAGGATAATTTATCTGGAAGGAGAAGTCTGGGTTGACAGCTACTTTCTTTCAGTCTTTGACAAATGTGCTACTTCCTTCTGGTCTCCATGGTTTCTGATGAGAAACTTAACAGTCATTCAAATTGTTTTCCTACATGTAAGTATCATTTCTCGCTTGATGCTTTCAAGATTTTTTCTTTGGCTTTAGTTTTCTGGAGAATAACTGATGTGTTTCGGTATGGATTTTTTTTTTTTTTGGTTTATTCCTCTTTGTGATTGACTCTGCTTCTTGAATTGGCTTGTCTTTCACTATATTTGGAGACTTTTCATCCATATTTCTCCAAATATATATATATATATATACACACACATATATATGTATATATGTATATATACACACACATATTTAATTACCACTCTCTTTCTCCTTTCCTTATGGGACACTGATAACACAAAATACTGATTTTTTTGTTACTGTCCCAGATCCCTAAGGTATCTTTTTTTTCTCCACCAGTCTATTTTCTCTCAAGTGTTCTATTGTCAAATTCAGTCTTTCATTCTGTTATCAAGCTTCACCAGCGAGTTCTGTATTTCTGTGACTGCATTATTTATTCTGTAATACTTATATGGTTCCTTTTTATATCTTCTATTTCTTTGCTGAGGCTTTCATTTTCTAATTGGTTTCAGAGCTACTTGTAATTGCTTACAGAAACATTTTTATCATAACTGTTAAAAAATCTCGTCATATAATTCTAACAACCGATCTACCTCTGTTTTGGACTCTGTTGATTGTCTTTTCTTCTTCAAGTTGCCATTTTCCTGCTTCATGGTATAATGAATGGTTTTCAATTGTATCCTAGGTATTGTGCTTATGTTAGGAGACTCTGGTTCTATTTACTTTTTCTATTTTAGCATCCCTTAATCCTGCTTAGGTTTACCATGAAGGTTCTAATCTACTTGTGTGCTGTGATTGTTTAGTTTTCAAAATGATTGTTTAGTTTTCAAAATCATTGTGGTACTATTGTCATATTTGGTTCATCTGGTGCCACTGGGTCCTCCACTGCTCCATGTTGGTGTCAGTCATGGAGGCATAAAGCACTTTCCCTGGTGAGGCCACCTGAGTTCTCTACGTAGAGGATAGGAGACCCTGGCCCTTGGAGATAAAGAGCACCTTTTCAGGTCATTGTTGTCAGCAGGGCTCGTATACAATCTCCAATTGCTGGTTCCACTAGGCTACCTGGTACCTCTAGGTGTACAAGAGACTCTCCAGTCTGCAGGACAGAGAGAACTTCTCTGGGTCAGGCCACTTGTTTGTGGTGGTATTCTGATGCCAGATGTCACCAAGCCACCTTGTTTCTCTAGGTAGGGAAAGACAATCTCTGGCATGCAAAGACAGAGCTCTTCATGGGCTGGGCTGCTTATCGATTAAGTTTTAAAGAAAATTAGAATCTGAAACCTGTAAACAAATGCTTCATTTGAGACTTTAAAAAGTTCATAAACTTCTACAAAAATATTGTTTAAAGTGATATTCATTAAGACTGACAACAAAACATAGGGGGAGGCACACTCTATAGCAATTATACAAGACACTTCATAGAAGAATGGATACTTACTTGAATAAGATATTCAATTCTTTTCAAATCACTTATTACATCCTGCCAGTTAGCCTCTGTTTTAGGAAGACTTGCACTAAAGCACCTGGAACCAAAACCAAAGAGTAAAGTATTTTGAATGAGCATAATATGTCCTGATGAACCCTACAGGCAAAAAAATAATCAATTTTTTTTTATTCTGACTAATGAAAAAAGTCACTGTAATTCCTGTCTTTATGCCTTGTAGATGAATATGAACACCAAACATAAAGTACAACCTTGATACATTAGGTTAACTTGAGGAAAGACCATCCTAGAATAGTGAAAAGCCTATTAGGAGGAATAATTTATAAATAATCAGGTGCAACTTATCACAATGAAATTGAAATAGTTCCTGATATGTGACAAATGCTCAATAAATGTTTTTCAATGAATTATTAGTTTTTTCAAAGTACAGGTCCCATGAAACTTTTAAGTGAAATATATATGTAAAATTCTCAATATTAGAGATAATCACTTTCATGTAATGAATGTGACAGTAATTGTTCCTTACAGGAGACTGAATATGACCTTTGCATGCAGGCCACATGCAGCTCAAAAGCTGTAATTCAAACAGAACAAAGAGATATTGCATGGTTTAAAATCAGGAAGGGTGTGCATGGGGTTATAGCTTTTCACCACAGTTATTCAGTCTATATGCTGAGCAAATGATCCAAGAAGCTGGACTATATGAAGAAGAAGTCAGCATCAGGATTAGAAGAAGATTACTTCACAACCTGTGATATGCAGATGACACAACCTTGCTTGCTGAAAGTGAAGATGACTTGAAGCACTTATTGATGAAGATCAAAGACTACAGTCTTCAATATGGATTACACCTCAACATAAAGAAAATAAAAATTCTTACAAATGGACCGATAAGCAACATCATGTTAAATGGAGAAAAGATTGAAATTGTAAAAGATTTCATTTTACCTAGATCTACAATCAACCCCTATGGAAGCTGTTGTTGTTGTTGTTGTTTGCCATCGAGTTGGCCCCAACTCATAGCGACCCCTCCTTGGGTTTCCGAGGCAGTATCACTATGGAAGTAGGAATGCCCAACCTTCCTTCCGAGGAGTGGCTGGTGGGTTTGAACCGCCAGCCTTCTGGTTAGCAGTCAAGTGCCTTAGCCACTACACCTATTGCCCTGGGCATATCTGCTGCAAGGGAGTTCTTTAAAGTGTTAAAGAGCAAAGGTGTCAGTTTAAAAACTAAGGTGTATCTGATCTAAACTATGGTATTTTTCAATAGCCTCATATATGCATGTGAAAGCTGGACAATGAGTAAGGAAGACTGAAGAACTGATGTCTTTGAATTATGGTGTTGGTAAAGAATACTGAAAAATACCAAGTACTGCCAGAAGAATGAACAATTCTGTCCTGGAAGGAGTACAGCCAGAATGCTCCTTGAAAGGAAGAATTACCAGACTTTGTCTCACCTACTTTGATCATGTTGTCAGAAGGGGCTATTACCTGGAGAAGGATATCATGCTTAGTAAAGTGGAGGGTCAGCCAAAAAGGGGAAGACCCTTAACAAGATAGACTGACACAGTGGCTCCAACAAGGGACTCAAGTGTAGCAAGGATTGTGAGGATGGTGCAGGACTGGGCAGTGTTTCATTCTGTTTACATGGGGTGCTATGAGTCAGAGCTGACTCAATGGCACTTAACAACAACAACCATCAAGGCTAAAGGATCACATACTTAATCATTTTAGTAAAATCTAAATTTAATATCTGAACAAAAGACACATATACTGACCAAAACTGGAATAATTTTTTGGAGCTTCAGGAAAAATAGTCTCTGATGGATCTTATATAGTAGCATAAAGGCCAACACTAATCTGTTTTAGGAGGAAGATTTATCTGCACAAACCTATGGTTCCCCATACCATGAAGGTGTTAGTAGAGTAAAACTGAACTGGAAGTCAGACTATGTAATTTAGGTGAGTGCACTGGGCCAGTGGGTACATCTAAGAGAGAAGAAAATTGTTAATAGACAGGGAAGAATATGAATACTTTTCAGAACGAAAACCAAAAAAAGTATAACTAAAGGAAAGGAAGGTCTGGTAGCATAGTGCCTAAGGCATTTGACTGCTAACCAGAAGGATGGTAGTTCAAGTCCACCAGCCACTCCTCAGAAGGAAGATAGGGCAGTCTACTTCCGTGGAAACCCAAGGAGGGGCGCTGTGAGTCGAGTCTGACTTGATGGCACATAACAACAACAACAACAACAACATGATAGAAACTCAAAGGATAAGAATAGTCAATGCCAGAATGGATAGGCAAAGCAACAGGGACAAGTCCTAAATAGCTACTTTTTATTGCTTTGAAAAGTATGTGGATGTCAAATTAAGAGATGTATTTCCAAGTTTAGTTATAAACCAAGAGGTCTGATTAATTTAGGGGTATAATGCTCATGTGAATATTTAAAAAAATGTAGAAATGCTAAATGAAGTGTTTATGACATCTGCTCTTGTTCTCCATACTCTGCCCTCTACTATACCCCGAACAGTCAGTTCGCAAATTAATAAACCAATCAAATAAGAAAAATATTATAAAAGGATAATGCTTATAGGTATTAACATAATGATATTTATGCCTAAATTGAAATTACCCCAAAATGAAGACATGAATGCCAGCCTCAGTTAAAAAATGACTGTTTAGAAGTAAACACAAATAGCACTGGATGGAGGTACTTCTCAAATAGGGTTTCTGAAAAATATAATCAGAGACAAAATGGTTAAAATTCCTTTAGTTAAAAAGTGAGATGTTAAAATATCATTTTATTTTATTTCTAGGTTCAACAACTATAAATTTATCATAATTTTAGAATTAACATTTCTTATCAGAGTTAATGGAACTAGAATGTATCTTGTGCTTTTTCCCTTACTTCCACCTCTCCCTTATGTGCACAATTCTGTAATCAGCATTTCTTCAGTTCTATTTTAACGACAATAGTTTTAACAGAGTTTACATATTTACTCATTTACATATCTACTAATATCACCAATCAATTTTTTTCTGTTATCCTTGACCTCCCCTTCCTCTTTCTCTCCTTTTTAATTGGTTACCATATTTTATACAGCACAAATTAAGAATATGTAATACTAATGTAGGTTTATTAATATATCAATTTCATGTAACCATATGCAAATAAAGGAGCTCTGGTAGCATAGTGGCTAAGGCATTTGACTGCTAACCAGAAGGCTGGTGGTTCAAACCCACCAGCCACTCCTTGGAAGGAAGATGGGGCATTCTACTTCCATAGTGATACTGCTTCGGAAACCCAAGGAGGGGTTGCTATGAGTCAGGTCTGACTTGACGGCACATAACAACAACAACATATGCAAATAAATGATAAATTAATATAATTTGAAGAAAAACTGGACAGAAATGAAACCAAATAAAGATATTATATGCTATCCTAAGAGCCCTATATAATATTTTTTTTGATGATTTAGGAGAAATCTTAGAACTTTCCAGAGATTTATTAGTTTTGCCTGCCTCTTTCAGGTTGTCAAAACGTTTACAAGTCCATTTATAGTTTCAGAGAGCAGTGCTGACTTTCACCTTAGCCACTGACAGTCTATACTTCATTTAGTCTACACTGAGGGATGAATAATAGACAGAACTTGCCCTCAAAAACTACACAATTTAATGATTCGATAGACATTTAAAGAACAAAACAGAGCAGAATATAAAATAATATACTTACAATGATAAGAAAAGTATAGCAAGGTTGTTAAGAGAGTTAAAAATCAATTCTACTTATTTTTAAAATAAGCAGAATCCATAATGAACAGATGTCTATGACATCTCAAGATCTTTAGAGAATAATTGTGTAACTATATTACAAAGTATCTGAGATTCAAGTGACCTTTAAAGTAAAGTCCATATACTATCTTCATCTAATTTTTCTCACCGAAATTCTCATTACTCAATGTCACGGTAAATCCTTTAGGTGTTGAAGAAGAACTATGGCTATGGCAATGGATTTCCAGCAGCCATCCGTCCAGAATACCTCCTATGATACAATGCAGAGCAAAAGATGACTCATTAAAAACAGAAGTGAACTACTAGGGAAAAAGAAAAGGAAAGGAGTTTAATGTTTATTGACCAGTAATTGCAATTTTTTTGAGCTCTGTTTTAGTCATTTAATATATGTACTACATTTAACTCTCACAAGAATTAATTGGGTAAGGTGCCCAGTCCCACCGCAAGTACATGATGACCAGAAGGATTTGAAACTATGTCAAGTGCATCATCTCCGTTCTCACAATCTACCTATGTGACTGCTCTGATCTCATCTCCTGAAGCAGAAGGTGGCTGGTGAAATGCATCATATGGAATGATGAAAACCAAAAAAGACACAAACTCACTGTCGTCGAGCGGTATCCAACTCACAGCAACCCTTTCTTGGGTTTCGAAGGTGGTGTCGCTATGGAAGTAGATAATCCCAATCTTCTTTCCAAGGAGTGGCTGGTGGGTTTGAACCACCAGCCTACTGGTTAGCAGTCAAATGCCTTAGGCACTATGCCACCAGAACTCCTTGACTTCAAGAAAAGGACCCTTAGTGTGATATTCAGCAATTTCATTAGTCTACTGCTTTTACTAGGTGACCATAACCTTTGTTCTTTCTCCTCAAACCAATACTTTCTTCATCCACACATATTGATGATTGCTTATTTCTTACTTCACTAAGAAAACAGAACTCACCAGAGGACTTCCACTTCTTGCCACCTACATGTGCCTATGCCTATACACTTTGCTTTCTCTTTTATAACTATGGACAAACTGTATACTTAACTAAAGTTACACCATCTATTTGTGCACTAGACCCTATCCCCTTCTCACTTCCTTAAGGTGGCAAATCCGGTAACTGAACCTGTTCTCTCCCACATCACCAATTTTTCTGACACTGATGTATCATTCATATCAATATTATCTATATGCTATTATTTTCTCAGCATATATAGGAGAAACTCTTAGCCTCACATCTTCCGATAACTACTGTCTAAATTTTCTGCCCTCTGTATAATGGAAATACCCTATACAATAAATGGTACTGAGATAACTGTATCTCCATATGCAAAAGAATAAAATTGAACTCAAACCTCAAATAAAATATGAAAATAAACTCAAAATGGATCAATAACCTAAATAAGAACTAACATTACAAAATTCTTGGAAGAAAACACAAGGCTAAAACTTCAAGACTTTGTTTTTGATAAGAGATTCTCAGACATGATATCAAAAACTTGAACAAAAGTAAAAATAGATAAATTGGATTTTATCAAAATGATAAACTTTAGTGATTCAAAAGGCTTTACCAAAAATTGAAGAGGCAATCTACAGAATGGGAGAAAACATTTGGGAATATATGTCTGATAAGAGTTTAATATGTACAATACATAAATAACTCCTCCAGCTCAACAACAAAAAGACAATCCAAATAAAGAATGAACTAAGGTCTTAAATAGAAATTTCTCCAAAGAAGACATACAAATAGCCAATAAACAGATGAAAAAATACTCAACATCATTAGAAATTACAGAAGTGCAAATTAAAACCAAAATGAGATAACACCTCACACCCATTATCAGAAAAATGGAAACCAATAAGTGTTTGCAAGGATGCAGAAGAACTGAACACCTTGTACATTGCTAATGGGAGTGTAATATGGTGCAGTCATGGAAAACGCTTGGCGGTTCCTCAATACTTTAACAAAGAATTACTATACGCCTTAGCAATTAAAGACTTCACAGCAGGGACTTAAACAGATACCTAATATATCAGTGTTCACTGAAGCATTATTTACAATACCAAAAGGTAGAAACTATCCAAGTGTCCATGAACAGATGAATGGATATACAAAATGGAGTATATACATACAATGGAATATTTGGGCAATTTACTTCCTTACTGATGATACTGCTTCAGAAACCCAAGGAGGGGTTGCTATGAGTCAGATCCGACTCTATGGCAGTGAGTTTGGTTTTAGTTTATAAAAAGAAGTTCAATTTTAATGCATGCTATGACATAGACAAACCATGAAAATATACAGCATGAAAAGAGTTGACACAAAAAGACAAATATTTTATGACCCCACTTAGATGAAATATTTAGAACAAATACATAGAGAGAAAAGGTTTATTATTAGTTCCCAGGAACTGGGGTAAAGAGGGAAAGAATGTTATTGTTGAAAGGATACTGAGGTTCTGTGTAGGATGATACACAATTTTGGAAATGGATAGTGATGATGGTAGTACAACATGATGAATGTAATTAAAGTCACTAATTTATACTTTGTTATCATTGTTAGCTGTTGTCAAGTCAGCCCCTGCCTCATGGAATCTTAGTTTCTAGTGTTCTACAACAGAACTAACACAAGCGAGTAGCTTTAACAAACAGAAATTTATTTTCTCACAGTTCAGGCGGCTAGCAGTCTGAATTCAGGGTGTCAGCTTCTAGGGGAAGGTTCTCTTTTGGTTGGCTCTAGAGGAAAGTCATTGTCTCTTTTAGCTTCTGCTGCTAGGTGATCTTCATGTTACTTGGCATCTCTCTTCTATTTCTTCACAGTTTGCTTTTTTAATCTCTTATATCTCAAAAAGAGATGGACTCAAGATACACCCTACAATAATCCTGCCTCATTAACATAGCAAAGACAATCCATTCTTAAATGGGATTATAACCATAGGCATGTTGTTGTTATGTGCCGTCAAGTTGGACCCGACTCGTAGTGACACCTCCTTGTGTTTCTGAGGCAGTATCACTATGGAAGTAGATTGCCCAACCATAGGCATGTTGTTGTTGTTGTTATGTGCCATCGAGTTGGCCCTGACTCATAGTGACCCCTCCTTGGGTTTCTGAGGCAGTATCACTACGGAAGTAGCATAGTGACACTGCCCTTCCGAGGAGTGGCTGGTGGGTTTGAACCGCCAGCCTTCTGGTTAGCAGTCAAGTGCCTTAGGCACTATGCATAGAGGTTAGGATTTACAACATGTATTTTACAAAAAAAAAAAAAAAAAAACACCTCACAGCTGTCGAGTCAATTAAACTCATAGACACCCCTCCTTGGCTTACTGAGGCAGTATCTCTACAAAAGTAGGTTAACCAATCTTCCTTCCAAAGCATGTACTTTTGGGGGACAAAATTCAATCCATAACACATGACAATCCCATGTGTGCCAGAACAGAACTGTGCTCCATAGGGTTTTCACCAGCTGATTTTAAGAAATAGATCACCAAGTCTTCTCTGTTTACCTTAGACTGGAATCTCTGCTGAAACCAGTTCAGCATCACAGCATCACAACAAAAGCTTCCACTGATAAATAAGTGGTGGCTGCAGTTGAGGTACGTGTACATAGACAAGAAGGTTGTCATTTAAACAGAACAAGTGGACACTGCAGGGTTTAAAATCATGAAGGGAGTGCATCAGGGTTGGATCCTTTCACCATACTTATTCAATCTGTATGCTGAGCAAATAATCCAAGAAGCTGGACTATATGAAGAAGAACATGGCATAGGATTGGAGGGAGAATCATTAACAACCTGATGACACTTTGCTTGCTGAAAGTCAGGATGACTTGAAGCATTTACTGATGAAGATTAAAGAATACAGTCTGCAGCATGGATTGCTTCTCATATAAAGAAAACAAAAATCTTTACAACTGGACCTATAAGCAGCACCACGATGAATGGAGAAAAGATTGAAGTTGTCAAAGACTTTACATTGCTTGGTTCTACAATTGATGCTAATGGAAGCAGCAGTCAGTATATCAGATGATATATAGCACTGGGCAAATCACCTGCAGAGGACCTCATTTATGTGCCAAGGAGCAAAGATGTTTCCTTGAGGACTAAGGTGCGCCAACATTGGGAAATCTACTTCTGTAGTGAAACAGCCTTGGAAACCCAAGGAGGGGTCACTATGAGTTGGATCTGACTCGATGGCAGTGAGTTTGTTTTTTGTTTTGTTTTGTTTCATATACATGTGATAGCTGGATAATGAATAAGGGAGACTGAAGAAGAGTTGATGCTTTTGAGCTGTGGTGCTGGAGAAGAATGCTGAAAGTACCATGGACTGCTAAAAGAACTAACAAATCTGTCCTGGAGGAAGTGCAGCTGGAATGCTCCTTGGAAGCAAGAATGGACAGACTTCGTTTTCCATACTTTGATCATGTTATCAGAAGGGACCATTCACTGGAGAAGGATGTCATGCTTGATAAGGTAGAGGATCCACGAAATGCAGGAAGGCTCTCAACAAGATGGACTGATGCAGTGGCTGCAGCGATGGGTACAAGTATAGCAAGGATCATGGAGCTGGTGCAGGACCAGGCGGTGTTTCATTCTGCTGTGCGTTGGGTCACTATGAGTCAGAGAAGACTTGATGGCACCTAATAGTAACAGCACTTGAGGTGTACTGGCCAGGTACAGAACCCTGCTCTCCAAATGTCAAACTTTTTGTTATATGTATTTTACCATGTTAAAAACTTTAATATATATATGTTGTTGTTAGATGCCATCAAGTCATTTCCAACTCATAGCGACCCCAAGCACAGCAGAATGAAAGAAACATATATTACACACACACACACACACACACACAACCTCTATATCCCCTCCTTGTAGAATTTCCTTCTTCCTTGAATATTGCCTGGAACATAAGTTTTGCAACATTTTCATTGAATGACTAATGAAACTGTCTTATTTCACTTACAGACATAACATGTATTCAAATTGTTTAAAATTAAGTCATCTCACTATCTAGAGGTTTCTTTCATATACTTAGCATTCAATAAATATTTACTGAGTGAATTATAAACTCATTGATTTCCCCAGAGAGAATCATGGAACTAGTGATAACACCAAATAAACAATGAAAGAATAAATGCAAAGGCATCTGGGTACATACCAAACTTAACATACTCAATATGTTTAGCAGACATTTACGGAGTATCCCCTATGTGCCTGGCTCTAAGGTTACAAAGGTGAAGAAACAGAATCCCTGTCTTTTAGGAAATTATAGAAAGATGACAGATA